AATTGTTATTGTTAATGATTTTTTGGAGTATTTTTCCTCTTGAGTTGTCGGATATGCAACCCCATTGGGAGTGTTTGGCATTAAAATCACCCCCAGCCAAGAAGTTTGGCCCTAGGGATTTTAAAAAATCTTTTAGTTGTGTCGAAGTGATAGCAGGATGAGGGGGAAGGTAAACTGAAGATATTTTGATCGGTGTGTGATTTAATGTTATTTGGATATTAGTTGCCTGTATAGTAGGGGTTTGGTTAATAGGGAGCAACTGATGCTGGATTTTAGAGGAAATAATAATAGCAGATCCTGCATGAGCAGTAGTGAATAAGTTACTCTCTAAAAAACGTTTCTAGTTGTACTGAGTTTTCAAAAATTTGATCCCACTAAAAGTACGCATATTATAGGGGCTGAAGACATTTCTAGTTCAAATAACTAATTAACAAGTTGTTCTAACAAAACATTTAATAGGACCATTTAAAAATTTATCTTGTCTCTACATTTTTATAGTTAAAGTTGGTCCAACTATACATTTTTTCTGTTTAATATGGTAGAATACAAATCAATATTAAAGATATATCAAATATATGTTTTATGTTGAATACACTTATTTCATTAAGGATAAGACACTTATTGTTCTAAAATAATTCTAATTTTGGTATTCCCTTTTCAAATATTTTCAATTACTAAATTTGGAATCTCATGGTCAAAAAAATATTCAAATAAATATAATGTACATTATTTAACAAATGTTATTCAAACTATATAGAAACAGATTTTTTAAAGTATGACGCAAAAGGAAATATAATTTGGAAAATAACAGCACATAATACCGTGTTTTTAAAAAACACTTGAGCCGGATAAATTATTTCGTTAACAGTAAACAAATTTGGTTAGCTATGCATGAAAATATTGATAAATATTTCAAATATTCCATATTTTTCGAACACAATTAATCCAAAATGTGATATTTCATATATTTCGAACAAAATACGTAAAAAAGGTTGAAATATATAATTTAACCTTTAAATTAAGGTGAATAAGTTACGTTCTACAAAAAACAATGTTGGTCTAACTAAAATTATGGTTGATATGAGAGCACAATACATTTCTAGTTGTACTGAGTTATGAAAAATTTGATCCCACTAAGTTAATGTATTGATCAATAACTAAATAACAAGTTGTTCTAACAAAACATTTAATTGGGCCATTTAAAAATTAATCTTGTCCCTACATTTATATAGTTAAAGTTGGACCAACTATATATTTGTTTTGTCTAAGAGGGTAGTATACAAATCAATGATATAGATTTTGTAGAAACAGATTTTGTAAAGTATGTCGCAAAAGGCAATATTATTTGGAAAACAACTGCACATAATAACATGTTTCTAAAAAACACTTGGGCCGAATAAATTATTTCGTTAATAGTAAACAATTTTGGTTAGCTATGTATTATTAAAAATTTCAAATATTCCATATTTTTCGAACACAAAAAGTTCAAAATGTTAGATATATAATTTATCCTAAAAATTAATGTGAATAAGTTACTCTCTAAAAAATACAAAGTCGGTCCTGCTAAAACTATGGTTAATATGAGGACACAATACATTTTTAGTTGGGCTGACTTATTAAAAATTTGATCCCACAAAATGTACGCATATTATAGGTGCTCAACATAATATACATTATTTAACAATTGTTATTCAAACTAAGTAGGTACTCCAATAATGATTCTAAGAAATCTTTGCCACCTAATTTATGCAATGGTACACGTCTGCGTGTAATTGTTCTTCAGAAAAATCTGATAGAAGCTAACATTTTTATTGGTTTTGCAAATGGCAAATCAGCTTTTATTCTTCGCATACACATGGTACCATCAAATTATCCATTCCAATTCAAGAGAGTGCAAGTTATTCATATTTTTGTCATGTTTATAATATTTAATAGTAATGATATATCAAATATTTGTTTAATGTTAAATACAGATGATTCATAAAGAATAAAACACATAATTTCCTAAAATAATTCTAATTGTCTATCATTTCGTTAGCAATAAACAATTTTGGTTATCGTTGCATGAAATAATAGTCGAATATTTCAAATATTCTTGATATTTTTGAACAAAATAAGTAAAAATATGTAAATGTATTATTTTACCTATAAATTAAGGTAAATAAGTTATTCTCTTCAAATACAAAGTTGTTCCAACTAAAACTATGGTTAATATGAGGGAAAAATACATTTCTAGTCGGGCTGACTTATTAAAAATTTGATCCCACTTAAAGTACGCATATTATAGGGGCTCAATACATTTCTTGTTCAATTAGTTTCAATTAGTAAATTTGCAAACTCATGTGTCAAAAAAGTGTTAAATTAAATATAATATTCATTATTTAACAAATGTTATTCAAACTATACATAAACAGGTTTTTTAAAGTATGACGCTAAAGGCAGTATTATTTGGAAAATAACAGCACATAAGACACATGGTCAATTATATGTTTGATGCTGAATACACATAATACATTAAGGATAGACACTTTTTTTTTTTTTTTTAATTTTAATTTTTAGTTTTCCTTTTTAAAAAAATTGACAATTACAAAATTTGCGAACTCGAATGTTAAAAAAATATTCATATAATTATAATATACGTTATTTAACAAATATTATTCAAACTATATAGAAACAGATTTTTTAAAGTATGACGCAAATGGCAATAATACTTGCAAAATAACAGTACATAATATCATGTTTCCAAATAACACTTGAGCCGCATAAATTATCTCTTTGGCAGTAAACAATTTTGGTAAGCTATGCATGAAAATATTGTTAAAAATATTAAATATTCCATATTTTTCGAACCCAAAAAGTCCAAAATGTTATATATGTAATTTATCCTAAAAATGTATGTGAAAAAGTTACTCTCTAAATAATACAAAGTCGGTCCAACTAAAATTATGGTTAATATGAGGGCACAATACATTTCCAGTTGGACTGAGATATAAAAATGTTGATCCCACTAAAAAAATGCATATTATAGGGGCTCAATACTATTCTAGTGCAAATAACTAATTAACAAGATGTTCTAACAAAACATTTAATTAGGCCAACTATAAAATAATCGTGTCTCTACATTAATATAGTTAAAATTGGACCAACTATATATTTTTTCTGTGTATGAGAGTAGTATACAAACTAATGGTATCGATATATAAAATATATGTTTTATGTTGCATACACATAATACATTAAGGATAAGATACTTGTTTTTCTAAAATAATTCTAATTTTTAGATTTCCTTTTAAAAAACATTTACAATTACTAAATTTGCCAACCAAATGTATATAATATACATTTAACAAATGTTATTAAAACTATATAGAAACAGATTTTTTAAAGTATAACGCAAATGGCAATATTACATGGAAAATAACATTACATGATATCATGTTTTTAAAAAACACGGAAGGCGGAAATAAAATTTCATTAGCAATAAACAATTTTGGTTATCGTTGCATGAAATTATTGTGGAATATTAAGTTTAAAGTGTAGTATAAGAGGTGAAGTGCGGTATATAGTGCGGAATAGTAGGTATACTTAAGATAAAGATATAAAAACTCCACTTGCTTACTCTACCATAAACCACCTCCTGACTTTTTTTTAACCTTTAATGTTGTTTGAACAAACAAATAGGTTGTTAAAACAACATGTTTTTGCCCTTGCGAGGCAAAAACTTGCCATTGCGTTGGCTGTATCGTATTCACATAGTTTATATAAATAGAAGTGTATTAATCCATAGTTTTACTCTTCTACTTGTTAGATAACTGAACAGTTGACACCACAATCTGACTCTCAGAATAAGCAAAATATATGATGGCATTTTCTAAATCAATTTGTATTTCAGTTATAATAGCGATTTTCATTATATCGTTATCGGGTAATAAACGTATAATTCTATTTGTCTTTCACATTGTTATTGTGTGTGATTTGATTTTCATAATATTATGTAAGCTTGAGATTTCTAGCTTGTTATTGTTTTATCAAACTTTGTGTATGAACAAATTAGATATGTTTTATCAGAAAAAGCGACTTATGACATAAGGGAGGGATAACCTTTTAAATATCATTTTTTTTTAGTTGTTAATGGCAGTACCAGTCAAGATAAAGGTAAAGCAGGTGAGCACGTAATACTATTTGAACTTCTTTTGGTCTAATTTAAGACCTTTATTTTTTTTGAAATTGTTATCACTAATTTTTGCCCCAAAAGTAGAGGTTTTTAAAGGTATTTTTCAAAAAAAAAGTAGATTTTAGACCAGTTTTTAATTTTTTTAATTTTTATCATAAAATTAGAGACTTAAGTCAAATCTTTTCGTCTAATAATAATTTTCGTATTTTTTTATTAAAGAAAATTTTCCCGGATGGTCACCCATCCTGGATCAAGCAGCAACGGACACAGCTTATCCTCAGATGCCTCGTGGCAGCAGAGGTGTTCACTGCGTCTACACTATACCCTTGTATGATTTTTAACTTTTATTTCAGTTAACATAAAAATAATACAGGGGCATAGTGTGGACGCAGTGAACACCTCAGCTGCCACGCGGCATCTGAGGTTAAGCTGTTTCCGTTGCTGCTTGATCCAGGATGGGTGACCATCCGGGAAAAATTTTCTTTATTAAAAAAAAATTGAAATAAATCTCCGTCCACTCTCGTTATTAGATTTGATTTAAGTCTCTAATTTTATGATAAAAATTAAAAACTGGTCAAAATCTTTTTTTTTTTTTAATTAACAAAAATTAGTGATAAAAATTTCAAAAAAAAATCTTATATTAGACCAAAAGAAGTTTGAAAAAAAATTGTTTATAATTTGAGGATGTCATGTCGATGGCCGCGTGGTTTGACTCAGAATGCCCCATATAGAACATTTTTGTACATTTTCAAAAAATTACGTTAAATAATACTGTATGACGTTACAGTGTACACTATGTCTAAACCAACAGTAATTGCTTATATTATTTATACAAAGTAATGTAGACTACTTATTGGCATATTTATAGTTCAAAAAGCAGACGCTGATCCAACTACAGGGCGACCATCAGTCGTAACCAACTTCAATAATTGCTTATCCGGGTAAATATTTGTACATCTTAACTATTACAATATGTTTTAATTCAAATGGGAATTTTTAGCTACATTGGAGACCGAAATAAGATAGTATTGTTTTTGGACTACGACGGAACATTAACTCCAATCGTTGCAAGTCCTGAATTGGCTACAATACCCGATGAGACTAAATCCGTTTTACAAACATTGGCCGAAATGCCAAATGTGAAAATAGCGATAATTTCGGGACGAGGCTTACGTGATCTTAAGGATATGGTTCGTTAGTGAAATTGTGTATTTCGCGTTAGATATAATGTAGTTTAGATAATTTAAATCATTTTAGGTCAATGTCGAAGGTTTGACTTATGCTGGTAACACTGGCCTTGACATTAGTTTTCCCGATGGTGGCGAATTTAAATATCCAATATCCGAAGAGGATCAAGGAAAATTAAAAAAATTGATAAAAACTCTCAAAAACGAGGTATTTATGACATGACGTTCATTACAACAAACACTGCATTTCATAGTTCACAATATGTAGCTAAGAAAGCATTGAAAGTTGTATAATTTTTTTTTTTGTTGCCACTTTACGGTATTCCTAGATAGCCAATGCAAATATTTATTTTTTATTTTTTAGGTTTGCAAAGATGGTGCTAAGATGGAAGACAAAGGATGTACGGCGACCTACCATTACCGTGCTGTACCTGATGGTTTACATGCTGAACTGGTGCACAGTGCTCGGTCTCTCATTTTAGCCGCTGGGTTTAAAGCTGGTAATGCTCATTGCGCTATTGAAATAATTCCTAGTAAAGTAGATTGGGACAAAGGGGATGCATCTTTACTTATTTTAAGCAAATTCTTCCCAAGTAATTGGAGGGAAATTCCTACAATTTATGTTGGAGATGATGTGAATGACGAATGCGCTATGAAGGTAATTCACAATTTTTAAAATAATTTTATTATAACTAAGCCATCATTGTGTATTCACGTATAGGCATTGGCAGACACGGCTGTTACATTCCGCGTAGCTGAAACTGGTGATTTTGACACCTTCGCTCAACACCGTTTACTGGAGCCCAAGAGTGTGTTAAATATGCTTAAATGGGTGAAAACACATTTCACTAATAAAACTTAGAAAACTAAAAACTTAGTAACATTTAACAACTATTATACCTGAAATTAATTTTGGCCAATTAGCATTTCACCTAGATTCTTCCATAAAATTGATACTTGTGAATATTATCTATCCTTAAGAGAATCTAAATGTTCAGAAATATATAAAATATTATTTATAAAAATAAAATCTCTGTTAAACAACATACATTGTAAGTTACTTATATTGTTTCAAAAATAAAATCACACTTACAAAATGTATATTTGTTATATTCTATTATAATAATTATAATATTTTTACCAGGTTAGGAGGAAATTACAAGAAATCAAATTACTATATTACTCATGTATGATTATTGTATGATCTTAAAAAGGAAATTTAAATCCAATAGCTGTACCTTGTATTTTTCCCAATTTACAAACATATTTTAATAAAAATGTTAAAAAATAAAAACCACCAGAAAGGACTCTTACAAATATTGAGAAAAAAATAAATCAAGCACTGTTGAATTATATACGATACAAGCTTCATAAGACAGTAATTTAAAATTGAAATAATTGAAATGGTTGACAAATTAATAAAATTCAGATTTCAAATGAAACAATCGTAATCATACAGATAATTACTGAAATAGTGGATTCACACACAGTTATGCCATTAGGTTACAACGCAAATAATAATAGATTACCAGGTTAGGTCAATGTAAGGGTTAGTACCGATGATTAAAAAATAACTCGTTTTAATTATATTCAAGAACTTTCTTCTAACACAGCCAAGGTTAAGTATTTTACAATTAGTAACCCGTTCAGAATCTGCTGCATTAGAAGCAAGACTTTATTTACAAGATAACAGGTTATCTTAATGATTATGGGTTCTCATCACTACTACAATTTAACTCATGTTTTTGAATTATTACTTATTTTGTAAATGTTATATATTTTTTTGTTGCTACTTGGTTAATACCATACGAATAAATAAATTAAAAAGTATTCGGGTCGGGGCATAATGGAGACGTGGAGGTCACAGGTTTACAGGAATTTCTTAATCTTAAAGTGATAAAATCACTTCCGAATAAACGCTTCGATGCAAATCAGTAGTTAGTATATCCAAGCCAATCTAAACCAAGCACAGTGTAAAAACCAGCAAAGTTAAAAAGTATTAAATTGAGGTGCTGTATTTACAAACAAGCATCAAAGCGTTGATTTGAAAGTGATTTTATCCGAAAGGACTAGTACAATAGGCATACTGGAATCAAAGCATAGATGGGACGGAGAGGTCACAAATCTACAGGAATTCTTATAAATAAAAGTAATAAAATCACTACTTATTTTGTAAATGTTATGTTATGTTATATATTTTTTTGTTGTTACTTTGTTAATACCATACGAATACATAAATTTAAAAAAACATTAAAGTGGGGTCGGGGCATAGTGGAGACGGGGAGGTCACAGGTTTACAGGAATTTAAATGTGATATAACTGACGTGTGGGAGCGTACCGAACAAATTTTCCTTATTAACTTCAAATCGATCCGACTCTTTTTCTCGAAGTTATAGCCAATGAAAGTTCATACTTTAAACTATTATGGTTTTCTTTTTGGTTTTTCAAATTTTTTACTGTGAAGAAGTAAACTTTTTCAACTTTTACCCCCTCCTTCTTTTAAAGTGCCAACTAGAAGAAATTTGTGATTTATAGAGTTGCTAGTAGTAGAAGGAATTGGTCTAATATTAAAAAATTACAGTGTATACAGACACAAAAAAAGCCCACATCATTTTAAAATCAATAGCATCTTTGCTCCGGACACAAAGCTAAAAAAAAAGTATATTCCTTAATAAATCCTATGAGGTATTGAGTGGTTCGCGATAAAATTATCACCTTGTATTGGTACCGTTTCTACTCTTTTGTTTTTTCATATTCATAAAAAATCTTTTGAAAACATTATAACATGATTTTATCGCCGTTTTTTTTTCTTCCAAATAACGTACTTAAATTTTGTTTTCTTACACGAAAACATAAAATTCATAACACCTTGTTAGTGTGCCATTTATTTGTGTAGCGGTTTCAAATGAACGTGTTTTTTAAAAACAAAACAAAAACACAATTTTATGTGATATAACCTATTCTTGTTCAAGGAGTTACATGCTAGTCATACATTAAAGCATACAATAAAAAATACATACAAAAACAACATATATTTTTCATTATTCATATATAATTTTAAATCTAAATTATTTAATGTAAAATATATACATTTTCAAAAAATTAGGGAGCTGGTTTGACGTGGAAAGTCATGTACATTATACACATATGTAGGTACATATATTTGTATATATTTATACAGAGTGATCCATCTGACGTAAATTTTCACGCATACTTTTGTAGTTTTATATTTTTCAAATAGGTACATATGTTTTTATCTCCATAAATATGTAACACGAATTTTTCAAATATTTTAGCATTATAATTTCATCAATCCGTTAGTTTGCTATATAACTTTGTTAATATTTGTAATTTCCCCTATTTCTTAGGTTGTATAAAAAAAAAAAAAAATCGTAGCCGTCACTGTGTTTAAGGTGGTAGACGAAAACTGCTTGTGTATAATAATTATCTAAACATATTTTATTGTGTTGTGTTACCGCTGTTATCGGCTAAGGAACAATGCAAACATAAATATGAATTTTATGAGCTACTGTTTTTTTGTACAAATGAAGAAATACAGGAAACGTTATATTATCTTTACAGAGTTATAGAAAGCGAACATATTGATAAAAATTAGAAATTCAAATGCTATGTCTTAACATTGTTTGTCTACATATTTATGTAATTAAAAACATAGTAAAAGCATACGAAAAGTATTCATATATTCCGAGAACATTAGTGTTTTAATTCAGATGGACCTCTCTATGTATAATATATGTATACATACAGCAAAATTCTAGTATAAAATTATATACTTAAACAATACTTATTGTTGAGTTTTTTAACAATTATTACATTTATGAATAATTTGAATATAATTTTATTACATGTTTCAATTAAAATTTTAGATAGTGCAATAAAAAAACGTGGTGCTTATAGCGCAAATGAGTATAAATTAATTTAAAAAAAAAATCTTAAAACTATTCACTAGAACAAAAGTTATTTAATTTGTCGAATCATTGTGGAACACCCTATATATATTAGAGTGGTCCTTAAAAAGTCAATTTTCGAATTTTAACCTCGACGCCCCCTAAAAAGTTTCGGAGTACAATAAAAATAAGATCAAAAATAAAATTGAAAAATATTAATTTTAACCCGTACGCCACAAGGGGTAAAGTTTAAATGGGATTTAACATAGGATTTCGACACTTGTGCGTAAATGGTTTACCGGATAAACTGTAGGTTGGTTTCAAATTTCATTAAGCAAAAAAATGCATTTTGTATCAAATAAAACCAAGCACACGAATGATTAGTTTAATCAGTACCAGAAAAATGTTCCAAAGTTGGGTCAAGCAATTATTAAAATTCAATGGGATTCCTTCACAATCAAACGCTTCGGTGCTAATATGAAAATATAAAGAATCCAGCACAGTATACAACAGTATAGTCTAAACTAGCATAGTCCAAACCAAGTAAAGTTTATACTGGTAGAGTCATTCAAATTGTTTTAAATATTTAATAAACATAATTTTTGATTTACAAATGACAAAAATCCAACACAGTGAGGATGGGGCGTATTGGGAAGGGAGCCTATTGGCGTGGGGGGTGTTGCATGTCTACAGGAATCATATTAACTGAAAGTGATAAAATTTACTTTAAAGTAAACGCTTTGACGCGAATCTGTAGATCACAGAAACAGAAAAATCGTTAAAAGCCCTATTTAATAACATTAATGTGCTTAAAATTGTATTTTAGCTTTGATGCAAATTAGAGATGTTATTTTTTATTATTAGAATGAATAACCTAATGGTCGACCGTCCGTCTATAAACGTATTTTGTTTCCTATCTCATCGCAATTAACCACTTAGATATTGCAACTATGTATCAGATACCCGTTGACTGTTTTTTCATTCTAACGATCTAGTAATTGACCACGGCCGAAGAGTAATTCTTTTATTAATAAAAAAAAGTCTCTCTCGATTTTTAAGAGGAAAGGGTAAATTTTTATAATTTTTGGGCTAATAAAGTATCTTTTTGGTACAAATGTGTACAAATAAATTGTATAAATTCTAAGAAAACATTTTATTCGCGGTCGTTCAATGTCAGTAGCTATCGATTTTATTCAACTTGAATATTTATTATACGTACATTAATCAGTAATAAGAAATGTATTCAATTTGCATTTTACATTGTATTGCAAATCTCTATTTTGTACAAAAACAACAATGATACATTTGGTTACAATAAATACATTGTTTTTTACAACAACTGTTGCAGTGTATACAAACGACAAATACTTGTTGGTAAACATTATGAAGACTGCCATATTTCGCAAAAACAGTTTTTATAGATATATTGTTATTTTTAATTTTTTCGAAAACCAGTTGTTTTCCACATCAAGTTTTTCGATACAAACAAGTGGCTAAAAAATAATAAAAAAACAAGGAGTTTCTAACATATTCGCTATATTGCTTTTGCACGATATGCTGGTACAAAAAATAAAAATATACCATTGGTATTTTGGACAAAAGTCCAGAAAAATGTTTTAGCTTCGACGTGGAGCAGGGATGCTATTGGATTTACAATGATGTGGGTTTTTTTTTATGTGTATACACTGTGACTTTTTTTAATACTGGACCAATTCCTTCAAGTAGCAACTCTATAAATCACACATTTCATCTAATTAGTACTTTGGGGGAGGGGGGGTAAGAGTTGAAAAATGTTACTTCTTCACAGTTAAAATTTGAAAAAAACCATACGACTTTTACTGGCTATAATGTAGCAAAAAAATTCGGATTGTGTTAAAATGTATAAGAAATATTTCAAGCGTCAAAGCATCAAAGCATTAATTTGAAAGTGATTTTGATCACTTTTATTTATAATAACGACCTAACCGTATTAAATCACTTTCAAACTAACGCTTTGTTGCTTATTTGTAAATACAGCACCTCAGTTAAATATTTTCTAACTTTGCTGATTGACACTGTACTTGGTTTGAAAACTACTGAATTGCATCGAAGCGTTTATTCGAAAGTGATTTTATCACTTACAGATTTAAAAATTCGTATAAACCTGTGACCTCCCCGTCACCATTATGCCCCTAGCCTACTATACTCCGTTACTACTATACCCCGACCCCATTGTACTAGGTTTTTCAAAATGAAAAAGTATGTTGGTAGCAAAGTTAACTTGTCATTTTCACAATGACTGTTGCGATGTAAATAAATCACAAAACCTCTAAGAATCGTATACTTAAAATGTTTAACGACTTAAGAACATGATTTACATACTTTTGACTTTAAAAAAAGTAAAAATAGAAATTGGCTACAATTTATATCAAACATATTATAAAACTTATGGACAATAAACCTAAATCTACTATAATCTATAAAATTAAAATTAGGTTTACGCATTTAAAATGTTATTATAGTTGTTATTATGTAACATTATTATGTTACTAATGAAACTGTAATGAAACACTCATTAATTTTTAAAGCTTTATGCAAAACATAATTACTATTTATATTATGTTTAAAAAGTTAAAACATTTTTA